GCTGCCCCATAAGTCGCAATGGCCTAGTGAGCAAAGCACTTGCGTACTATTTGAGAGATCCGAGGTTCGAATCCTCATGCAACGATATTTTTTTCCTTTTTAATTCAATACTTCTTTTTTTTTATAAAAATTTTAGTTTTATCTGCTTCTTTGATTTTTAGAAACTTACTTTCTGTATTTTTCACTTTTTAATTTATTCACTTTTATCGTTTTTATTGAGGTTTTTTTTAGTTTTTAGATTGTATTGTTAAAAAATATATATATATTTTCAAATTTAATTGAACTTTTAGAAACCTATTTTATGTTTTATTTTTTCGTTTTATTTCTTTTTTGATTTATATACTTTAAATTTTTAGATTTTAGTATTTTAAGCGGACCATATTTTTTAATTTAATTTAAGTTTTAGGAACTTATTTAAATTTTTTTTATTATTATTTATGAATTTAATTTTCTTTTAGTCTTTAGATTTACTTGTTTTAAAAAGAAACATATTTTTATAAGTACATATCATTTAGTTCATAGAAACTTACTTTATTGTTTTTAATTTTTTTAATTTAATTTTTTTGTTTTTAATTTAATTTTCTTTTAATTTTTAGTTTTAATTGTTTTAAAAGAAAAAATATAGATACATATACTTATGTATTATTTTAAATTTCATATAATTTTTAAAAAACTTATTGCTAAAAGACAAACAATACCGCTAAAACCTCCTCGTTAGCAGATTTTTCAATTATTTTTTTCGAAAGACAGAAAAGAGCTTTCAGAATAGTTGCCAGAATTGACAATTTTTCAATTTGATTCATACTGGAATTATAATTTTTCAAATAGAAAATAAATTTTGTTAAGAGATGAGAACGCTTTAAAGAGATTATTCTACAAAGTTTTATACAGCAAGATAGGAAAAGCAACTTTAGTTAGAATAAACCCCACCAAGAAATAAATAAATAACTGTACGGAGTCATTTCATAAAGCGGGTTTCTTTTGATCAGTACGTAAAAATCCAATTCATTTATAGAATCCAAGTTAAATGGCCATACGAGTTCCAGAACTTGAGTGTAAAAGCGAAACAAGTTTAAGACAAATCTACAGCGCTGGGAAATCATCCAGTTTTCTGATATCTAATTTATATTTAATCGTTTTTTTTTCACATATCGAATCCCTTAACCTCGTAATACCCTCGTAGACCTTGTAAGGCTCGTAAATTTACGAACCTCGTAAAAGAACTGTAAAAATTTGTATGGAGCTCTATTTACGAGCCCCTTCTAAATTTACGAGGCAAATTTGATGCGCAAACGACCTCGTAAACTTCAGTGTTGCCGAGGGGCCGAAATTTTAATACTAAAATGTATGATAAAACAATGGGAAAAAAATTATACGCGAATAAAATTAATGAATTTCATTCACTTAGGTTTTCTGCTAATTTTCGGCATTTTTAATTGTATTTTAACCAAGAGTAATAGAGACAAGATGGCGGGATGTTATGGAAAATACTACGAAACAAAAATTGCTTCACTAAATCCTGGTTGACCTGTCAAACAGTCACTTTACGCACCTATTTACACCTTTTCCCAAAGGGGGCGTTCCCATAAAAGCCTCGTAAACTTACGAGTTTTACACGGTTTAACCCTTGAGTTCAAGGGAATCCCCTAATTATTTTGTCCCCTGTGGAACTTACTTAGACTCAAGATGCTTAGTTGACAGTGATCCCCGTTCCGTTAACAACCTCTTGGTACTCAGCAATGAAGTGCATGCAACTAAAGATACTCCCGTCTGTCCGGCATCCCGATTAAAACCAGTTCGTCATGTTCACTAACTTAATCAATTAAACCCAGCGTCAATAAAGGAGAAACATAAAAATACTAAAATCACTGAAAAATGTCTTAAGCACAGATTGGCTATACTTATTAGCTATTACTTGTTTTATTTTTTATACCCCATTACCCCAAGCTTCTTCCGAGATAATAAAGTGCATTAGTAAAGTTTTCAAAATGTTTCAGGTCACGCGATGAATCGACTGTCCTTTGAAGTTTGGCAAGCAATTTTTGAAAGCAATAGTTGAAAGTATGTTCTAGCATACAATTATTGCAAAATTGATTGAAATTGACATTTGTGGACCAATTATTGATTCATTAGCGTTCATGCATAACATCTTAACCCCGACTAAGTCGCTCCACTCTAAAACCGTTCCTTCTTACAGTCCCTCCGACTCCGTACCTCCGAATGGTTGATGTTTTTTTTATTGTATGAGTACCATCTACACGGAAGCTTGACAAAAGATATAATAGAGCCTATTATACTATTTTCTAGATCACTGTACTGTTTTTCAGAAAGAGGGAACCGGCCAACTGCGTGACGTCGACAATAAAGTTAAATACCTAAACTGATATTAAGCATGATGCAGAAAATAAAGGTGGCGCCTTCCGCCAACCGCTAACCCGTACTTTGTCGATTTGATAGCTTCCATCCATTCGCTGACGTCATATACAGGCCGGTTCCGCAATTCACTTCCGAGTGAATTTCAAACAAAGTCACTTTGAATTCATATTGAAAGGTGTTGGAATTCACTCGGAAGTGAAAATATGTGTCTTTTTTTGGGTATATATTTTTGACAGTGGGTGGAGAACCTCTCCTTTCGATACCATATCTTCTTTTGCACTAACATCAAACAATCTTCACATTTAAAAATGGCCTTTGAAGAAATCTCTCCGAGAAATTCAAGACAAAACTTTGTTTTAACCAACTTCTATGCCCCTTTACAAAGAAGAGAGGCTTTTGCAAGTTTCTCACACTAGAAAACGTGTTGAAATTTTCCCGATAAGTTATTTAGCTATGCTCCAAATGTACCTAAATAGAGTTCTTGTAGCTATTATACATTCAACAACACTATTCCGCACCATTTGTTTACTTCTTCTTCTTTCAAAATTGTTCTTTTCCCTCTCGTTCTCAATATTTGATGACGTCACGCCCGCTTGCTCTCAGTTAGAATCGCCAATCTTGTATTCTATCATTCTTGGATATTAAGGTAATACCATTCTTTATATTGCATCTGATTATTTTCTAGCTAGACTTTTGTAAATACTTATACATGCATGTGGGCCTCTCGCTCTCACCAAAAAAAAAAAGTGAGGGTATCTTTGCCCCTTGAACATATGAACTTCGAACGGTGGGCGAGAGCAGGGATATGTGTAATTGCAAGGTATTTCTGGCCAAAAGTGGATTTCAGGCGATCGAGGGATCTTCTCAAATAAGTCTCAAAATAATGACGATAGTGGCCCAAGTGGGCTCCTAGCAGAGACAACCGCCTTAACCAAACCTAATACTTGGTAGTTTTGGCGTACCCTTGCGTCTATGTGATTATGGCTTCCTGCCAAAGGTTTAAATACAATTTAAAGCACACTACCTTGACATTTCTATTTCTCCAGCAGATGCATGTAGAAATCAACAGTAGTTGTCGATTACCAAATAAAATAAAAAAAAAAGAATTTCTTTTGCTTTTACTCACGTTTTTCTTTTTGCTCTCTTCTTCAACCTCTTCCACCTCATCTTCATCAATATCCCATTGGAATAAAAATTGCAGTCGATGGTAACACCATAGTTTCGGTTTATAAACTTGGTCGCCACCCATTTTGCTGTGCTTTTCAAATCTACGCGCTTCTTGCCTAAGTTGCGACCGCAATGTTTTAATTTTTCTTTTTACCAAATATTTTGTCACTTCTGGTTTTACATCTATAATTTGTGCCACAATTTCTTCATAGGCTTTTTCCTTAGCCGCATACTTAGCAAAGTCTTTGTGGGTGCCATTGAAAAGCACAGGGTGGCGTTCCAAAATTGAAATAAACATTTCGGTTTCGGTTTTTGTCCAATTAATTTCCTGCGCCATAATTTCTGGGGTTCAGCTGTTGTGTCAAATGCTAGTTAATATCAATGTTAATAGTTCTATAAAAAAGGCAGATCCAAAACAAGTGGCATAAGAAGACTTAAATGTAGCTTTATTTGCAATTGACGAGGCAACATTACAAGTTTGAAATGTTATCTACTATATATGACAAAACTAACTACGTCGATAAAATGCTTGTGGCCAAAACACTTACTACACAAAAAAGCATACTACATAGATACACATATTACCACTAAGCTACAGTTTATGAAAGGAAAGTTCACTTCCTACTCATTCCCAATTGGACAATAATGATCCAAGTCTGAAATTGGCCCGCATGACCTAATTGAAAACGCTTCAGGAATACATGCTTACCAGAAGTGTTTTTTTTTTTCGGAAACAAATCTATCAAAGACATGGATGAGCTGAGAGCATGATGTGGTAGAATAATGGGAGTCAATGATTACTGGTCTCGTACAGGCAAAGTATTTTTTTTAAAGCTTAATGGAACTTTATAGTGTACTTATACAGGATCTCGGCGGTTCAAACATTTATAAAATAAAACTAAATTCAAACAAAAAAAGTAACACGTTTTTTTTTTTTATATAAAAACTCTAAAACTGCAATAGTTACATATCGTTACCTTAATACATTCTATAGATATAGGTACTAAATAATTTTCTTTCGAAATTCAGCTTTGAACAGCGCTCGATAGATTACTTGCTAAAGGCCTAATAGAATTTAGAAACATCTACTACATCCATAAATAATTTTCAGTGGAATATCTATCAGAAAAAAAAATGCGGCAAGTAACTTTAAAACCGACTTGCCCCATTTCTCTAAGAATAAAAACTAGCGGCGCAGCAATGAAAATGCAGTTTTTTGCCTAAGCCAAAAATGCTAAAGTTATTTGTCAGAGTATAAAGATAAAAACCAACGGAAGTCGAAAAATTCCATGTCATCACACACCCTTAAGTTCAAAAACAATTCAAAAGTTTTAGGTTATCTAAAATCGGAACGTTGAAAATTTTAAGAAACAAGTGAACAAGTGCTTTTGAAAAATTTATAAAAAAAAATATATCTACTCAGTAAAACGCATTATTTAACTATTTAACAGCAAATAGTGGACAATCACAGGCATGCGCTTATGTCATTTTTTACTGTTCCAAATCTTTCTGTTGTCAAATCTTTCTTCAATATCTTAAATCTACTTTTCAAAAGCCTAAGATCTTATACACCTTTTCAGCCCTAAAAATGTTAACTTAATAAGCTTAAAAAGACAAGTTGTAGTAAATTGAAAAATCAAAATGGCGAATGCAGCGGAAATGGTGGATATTTGGGGACGGAAATGTCGCCTAAATGAACATATGCTTTAATATTGAGATTAATTTACATAAGCGTGTTAAGCCGCGGTTTCAGAAAGACTTTCAGAAGACATTTATCAATTCTGGACACTATCTTGAAAGCTCTTTTCTCTCTTTCGAAAGACTAATTGAAAGATATAAGCGTTTTTCTATTTGTCTTTTAGCAATAAGTTTTCTAAAAATTTTAGCAAACAAAAAAATTTCTTTATAAAACGACAAAAATAAAAACTAAAAATCAAGATAATAACAATCAAATTAAATGCAATTTAAAAAATATTTATTAATAAAAAACATTTATTTAAAAATATATATTTGCTATTTTTCTAAAAATTAAATGAAATTAAAAAATAACGTTTTATGAAAAAAATAAAAAAATTAAATAAACAACTAATTTTTAAGCAAAAACCAAAACCGTCCTCAATTCTCATATAAAAATTTAAGATTATCGTTAACTTCTTCACGATCCAATTATCGGATCTAAACATTAATAGTATGGGACCGCCCTTGAGGTACCACCTTTCCGATGAATTATCGAAATCGGTTAACGTGATCCAAAGTTATGCGGTAACATACATTAAAAAAATAAAAAAATAAAATATTCCGACGAACTCCTTCTCCTTTTTGCGAAGTCGGTTAAAATGAAAAAAATGCATGTAAAAAAGGTACATTCAAATATTACGTAAGCAGAGTCCCTCGCCCCCTTAGTGGTAACGTAATACGTGAATAACCCCAAAAAGGAAAGAATTAAATAAATTTCTAAAACTTATATATAATTTAAAAAATATTTTACTATATTAAAGAAAAAAATCTAAAAGAAAAAAATAAAAATAAGTTTCTGAACATAAAATGAAATGAAACAAATATTTTTCTTTAGAAAACAATGAAATCTTAAAACGAAATAAAAAATAAAAACAAAAAAAGTTAAAATAAAAAATTTTTTAAATACTAGAATAAGTTTTTAAAAACTAAAAGAAATAAAAACGATATATTCTTCTTTCTAAAACGCAATACTCTAAAAATTAGAAGAAAATTAAATTAAATTAAAAAGTGAAATAAATTCCCCCTCCCCGAGGATTCGATCTAGGAACTCTCGAATAGCACGCCAGTACTTTGCCCACTCGGCCATTGCGACAGTTTAAGCAGCGAGGGCAAAATTATATAAATACATACATACATACATATATGTATACGCATGTACACCCCCATTTGGAACATGCTGAAGTGCTTTTTGTCAAAAATTTCCGCGAAAACCGATATTTAAATCATTCTCATCAAAACACAAAATAACATCTGTAAGGCTAATAACGGCTACATACCATCAATATATGCAAAAACAAGTTCAGTTTAGGATAGGAAAAATGCTAAAATTTAAATATTTTCTTCATCAGAGTAAACAATTAGGTCGCCAACAAATCAAATTGTAAAAATACAGTTTAAAGCAAATTTCTTAGTATTATTTTTTAAAAAGCTAAGCAAGTATTTTCTTGACACTTTGCACTGTCATTTTAATAATAATAAAATTTGTCCTGTTTTTTGAGGTTAGGAAAAAATTCTGATGCGATGGAGCAAAACGGACTTCAGATTCGTGTTCAACGCATTAAAATAAATACGGGTAGGATAGTCCGATCATCGAAAAAATAACACGTCAGCAAAAAAAAAATATATGTATTAAAAATCAACGCGATTTTTCAGTCGCTTGAAAGCTACACTTTATTACACTAAAATTTAACAGGCTATAAAACTATAAATTAAATAATAAAAATTGTCTAAAGTTTCAGATTGAAAAGTTAAAAATTTTTATGAAAATTTGTTGCATTTTCTAAGCGCTGTGTAAAAATTTAAAGTTTGATTTATACGGTTTTGGTTAAGGCATGAACCATATTTAAAAAAACAAAAATACAAACAAATTTTATCTCCAAAAACTTTGCAAATATTTTATAAAAACCGACATGCACTGAGTTCTGCACTATAGTGTATGTTAGCTTTGTTATGTTATGTTTAGTTCACTACATCGAAACATACATATGTATGTACATATGTATGTACATATGTATGTACATACAATTATTAGGATTAAGTAACAATTAAAAAATTGATCAAGAAAATTTTCACTTAAATAGCGCACTTATTTGTTTTTTTTTATATTTTTTGTTGCTACTGCAAAATTTCTAACTTGTTTATTATAGACCTTTGCATCGAAAGCGAAATTACTAAGTACATAGGTACATACAAATTTATGCACATATACTATATTTATTTACGTAGGTATGCAAGAGAATTTAGAATATACTATTTTTAAAACACATTTGTACCTATATACATACATACTACATACCTACTTATTACTAAATATAAATATTCTTATCACACTCACCTTTTTCCTGCTTATTTCCGCTATCGACTTGTCCTTAAATGCAGCTGTATCCTTTAGTGTTCAAATTCCAACCGAAAAGGAAAGAAGGTAAACGATAATTAATTGAAAAATTTTTATACAATAAAGATTTGAAACAGCAATGCCTCTTCGACAACACTCACCTTAGCCATGTTCGACGGCTGAAACTGTAATGATAAATGCGAAAGCCTGTTTTTAGCGTAAAATAAACCGCTCAAACGTTCCCCGTTTAAAGTGGGTATGTAGTTATAAACATACATATGTATGTATGTATGTACATACCAGTATGTGTATGTATGTACATATGTAAATAAAACCAGAACACTCAACAACCCAATGTCGTTAGAGTTAAAAAAAAAACAAAAACCAGTCACCAGAAAACTCGCCGAACCGGTCCACAAATTGTTAGCCCAAGACGTAACCAGTTTCGACGATGTGATGTTCGAAAAACGGCGTATACGCCAACAACACAACAAAGCGCATGAGCAAGCCGCACTGTACGGCACTCGCCGTTAACCGGTTTTTCTAAATAAGCTGGTGTGTTGTGGGCTTTGAATGCTTTGAACGAGTGCTGCTGCAATAACAATAATAACAATGCAAGTGTTTGCAGTTGTTCTTGTTGTCGTTGTTGTCGTTGTTGTTGTTACTTGTTGGGGCTATTTTGGCAGCTTGGCGGTCAGGTGATTGCTTTCGAATGATTCACGCAACAACAAAAAACCAAAGCAACTGTCGCTGCTGCAGATGATTTATTTACTTTTATATTGTTGTTGTCCACCAGCTTTAATATGATTTTGTAAGCAAGCAAGCATGTAAGCAGGTAAGTTGTCTAATCGCAGCCGTTGGCGCGAAATTTGTGCTTCCGTTTTTTAAATTTTTTTTTTGTGGTTTAAATAAAATCACAAAATTAAATTTTATTTTATTTTTTTTTTTAATGGAAAAAAATTTCTGCCGTCAGCAATTATCCCTTATCAACACAACGAAAGCTACGAAACAATACTAAATTCAATTCAGCGCCATGCCGCACACGCCAATTCGCTCCCTGCATCAACGCCCTCGAAAGAGCGCTGAAAAAAAAACACACGTTTGTATGTACATACGTATGTATGTGCATTAGTATACCTCTCAGATATTCACGACGACCGCGTCGTAAAGAATCGGCGGGATCTCTCCAACGGTGCTTCGTAGCCACGTTTTTCCACTACTCAACCAGTCAGGCAGCTAGCTAGCTAGTTGAGCGATTTGGATCACGAGCTGAACGAAAAAACGTGGTTTTAATGTCTCTCACAGCATGTTCACATAACGTTACAATTACGAAGCGTGAGAGAATTTGCTCACATAACCGTATTATTAAGATGTGTTTGTTTGTTAAGTGCTGACATACAGGCACTAGCTTGTAAATACAGTGACTCAAACAATGACCACGTGTTGATTTTTTATAGGTACGTAGTAGATACCCACCCAGCATTTTCTGAAATTTTTGATCATATTCGAGCCTTTTTTGAGTCCTCTGCACGATTAAAACAATCATAAATGTGCTCATATTCTGATCATAAAAGACTCTTTTGTCCGTAGAAAATGGTACCCAACCCACGACTCTTCTTGAAGAGTCTTTTAGAACTCACGTTTCTGATCAGTTTTGACTCTTTTTCGAGTCGTTTCCAGTTGTATTTCTTATCATGAGCGATTTTTTTTTTAGTTGTATTTCTAAACATTTGTGAGCCTTTTTCGAGCCATTTTTTAAGGCGCATTTCTAATTATTTTCGAGTCTTTTCCGCTGCGTAAAATTAAATAAGAATTCAATTAATTTGTAATTAGCAAATCAGCATATTTTATTGAGTTCGAAAGAAGCGTTAATGAAATAACGAAATTGTTTTTAATAAAATCTATTATTATTAAAATATTTATAGCCCTCCCAGTTAAACGTAATTTACACAGAGAAAATTTCACAATGCATGCAAATTTTTTTTGTCACTTTTCTTCAAAACCATATAAATCACAGTCTGAAACTTTATACAAAATTTAGGAAAACTCAACCAATTTTCATCAAAATTTGAACTTTTTAATATAAATCTTTAGAACATTTTTGGGTATGCAGTTTTATAGCCCATATCGTCGCTAGAATAAAGAAACAGTGTAAATGCCATATACCCTATTATTCGATAACCATACTATTGGACAGACAATCCTTTAATCTATTACAAAAGAATCTTAAGTTTTCTTTAATATCTTTTTGGATCACGAACTTATTCGTGCACAACGAAATTTTATAATAACAGTTTACGTACTAGAATTGTTTATTAATAGTGTATGGTGCACTTGGACTATTCTTAGGAAAATCCCAAAGAAATTCTTGTAACATATAAATAACGCTAGAGTATTTTACTTCATTATATTGCTGCTAACTTTCACAGGCAGCTTCAAAATGTGAATAATAAAATAGTGTAATATCGACATACATCAATTACTTTTTTTGAGTTTGCAACCAACATAAAATAGTGTACAATCATTTCATATAAATATGTTCAAAGATCAAATAGTGTATAAGCATATGCTTTCGGAAAAATGGGCTCAAATTGTATTTCTAAGTAAACATGGTACACAATTTTTTTGTGAATAAACAGCTAAAAAATCAATAAAAAGTGTGGTGTATTTAAAATATGAATATTTGTTCTAAAATGTTCTAAACAGTCAGATTAAAAGGCTGAAATTTTGATGAATTCTCCTAAATTTTGTATAAAGTTTGAAACTGTAAATTATATGTTTTTGTAAAAAAAAAAATAACAAAAAAACTTTGCTTGAAAACATTACGAATATTAAAATGAAATCAACACGTGGTCATTTGTTTGAGTCACTGTATGTACGCACATATGCATGTAAATATGTATAGCAGAGAGCAATTTTTTATTTAATTATAGATATGGCTATTCGGTTCATATTACTGATGCGCAGGTTGTTTAATTACGAAGGCTTCACCGTTTTTATTCGTTTGGCTGTTGACATTCGCGTGTAAAGACAACTTGGCGGTTGTTGTTTTGATTCTATAGGGGTTTGACTGTAACTTTATGTAAGTATGTGCAGTTGTATGTACCTAGTTTATGAATGAATGTTGGATGGATGCCATGATGTATTCCATCGTCACGGGTGGGACATTTGTAAAGCAAAAATAGCCTTTGTTTTTTAAATTTAAGTATAAAGTACTAAGCAATTCTACATTTCGATAAAGCTACACCTAGTTCACTAATATACGAGTTATTACCAAATACGAAAAATATTCCAACTTGATTTTATATCGGAAAATTCTGAGCTGTTTCTACTGTCACAGGTAGGACAAAGAAAAGACACTGCTTTTTGGCTAACATATATTTTACGGAAAGTCTGTGAGTTTACGTATCATTTCTATCTGAATCAGATGTTTTGCTATACAGAAAAGAACCAGCAATCCTAACAAAGCACAAACCATAACAAGAATTAGTTGTTTATTGTTAAAAAATTTAAAATTCTCCTGTCACGGGCGGGGACAACTTTTGTCACGAGTGGGACACGTACGATTTTCTTCATGAAATGGAGCAAAGCGCGTATTGACTTTTGGATTGTTGTTAAGCAACCCTCATAATAGAATTCTCTGGCGTCTTTATGATAGTAATGTTTACCTTGACTTTTCAAGCTGACCACACGAAATTTTTTACTACATCGCTTAGTCCCTCAACGGTATTACGGTGCTTAGTCAACCTGAACTTCAAAGTTTTGTAGCATTAGACATATGTACGTTTGAAACGTTAAACTTGTTTTTTATTGTTAGGCACCATTACAAAAAAAGTAAGTGCGCCTGGGCCAAACTGTAGAAGTGAAACTTTCGTTACATATCAAATTTGTGTCGTAATCAATATATTGAGGGCTTATATTCAATACAATCTATCTGCAATTTTCAGAAAAAACTACTTTCCGATGTTGAACCCATCTGGTGCTTAGCTGTCATCACTAATGTTAACTTGATCTATGCAATTCAATAACCAATTTTTCTAACAAACGATATGCATACATGGTCAGCATCAGTGTCATCGATGGCAGTTAAATCTTAGGTGAATTTAAATAATAAATATCAATAGCAATATCGATAAATATCAACAAAACCGATAAAAATATCGACAATAAAATCGATAAAAATATCGATAACAAAATCCTTAAAAATATCGATAACAAAATCGATATAAATATCGATAAATATCGATAACAGAATCGACAAATATCGATATCAAAATCAATAAATATCGATAACAAAATCGATAAATATAAATCACAAAATTTATAAATATCGATAACAAGATCGATAAATGTCGATAACAAAATCGATAAATATCATAACAAAATCGATAAGAAAATCGATAAATATCGATAACAAAATCGATAAGTATCGATAAGTATTTCGATAGCACAATCGGTAAACAATCGATAAATATCGATAATAAAATCGATAAATATCGATAGCAAAATCGATAAGTATCGATAACTTGATCGATAAATATCGATAACAAAATCGATAAAAATATCGATAAAGAAACCGATAAAAATATCGATTATTTTATCGATAAATTTCGAGAATCCTGAAAATCTCTAAAATCCCAAAATAGTTCCTTTCCTCTTTAATTACCTTTATTTTGATCTTTCTTCCCCTATCTTCATCTTTACTTTTATCGGTATCTCCATCCTCATCTTTGTTTTTATACCCGAGCGCACTTGTGCACAAGGGTATTATAACTTTGTTCACATAACGGTTGTTTGTAACAGGCAAAACGAATCGAGATAGATATAGAAAAATGTATACGTAAATGATCAGAATGAAAAGAGAAATCGATTAAGCGGTGACTGTCTGTCCGTCCGTCCGTCCGTCCGTCCGTCTGTGCACACGATAACTCGAGTAAAAACTGAGATATCTTAACGTGGGCGTGGGACGGATGGTATTGAAAATGGGCGAAATCAGATAATAACCACGCCTACCTTCCATATAACGGTAATTTTAAGAAATACGAAAACTGCGATATTTTAGTAACTACTGAAGATAATTCACTCAAAATTGATACTTACAATGAGTTTCTGACGGAAAACATGAATATTATAAATTTTTGGAAAATGGGCGTAGCCACGCCCACTTATGGTTACATGTGTATATCTTGGTAACCGCTACACCAATTTCTTCCAAACTTGGCACAGTTGTTGGTCCTGGTACAGTATACCAACTGGCCGAAAATTTCTAAAATCGGACAATAACCACGCCCACATCCCATATAACGGTAATTTCGAGAAATACAAAATCTTCGATAAATCAGTAAATATTGAAGCTAATTTATTCAAAATTGATGATTGCAACAATTCTTTACCAAGAAATACGTTTATGACAAAATTTTGGAAAATGGGCGTAGCACCGCCCACTTGTGATCACATATATGTATCTCGCTAACCGTTCTAGCAATTTGTACCAAGCTCGATATGGTTATTGTGCTTGCCACATAAAAGCAAACCGTTGAAAATTGTTGAAATCGGACTAAAATTGAGGCCGCTTTTCATACAACGGTAAATTTCAGATATGCTTGAAATTTCAATATTTCGAAATTTAAGGACGCTAATTTACTTAAAATGTATACACCCCGGCTTATCATGTAGCGGTAGCTTTCGGAAAGGTGGAAAACATATATTTAATACTTGCGCCGGGTATTTAATGTTCGGCTCCGCCCGCACTTAGACTTTCTTACTTGTTACTTTTATGTTTATCATTTTCTTCATCTACATAATCCCTTTCACCTTTGCCCTTATATATATATAAGTAAAGTGTTTAAATTTACCTTGGTCTTCATTTTTGCCTTTATCTTTAGGCATCTTTGATTTTGATTTTATTTTCACCTTTGCCTTTAGCCTTCTCTTTATCTATGTACGTAGTCACCTTTACTTTCATTCTTCTATTGGTCTTTTTCTAAGTGTTGTTCTTTAACCTTTTTTAATCAAATTTTTGTTAAATTAATACCATATGCATATACCCAAGAAGCACTTGTTTCAGCCCCAACCATTTCCGTTGCACCATTTCCACACACAGTGATGGCAAATTTAGTCAGAAAGAAGAAAGCTGAAGAGTTGATTTTTTCGGAAATAAAGATGAAATTCGATTTTTTCTGGAAAAATCCGATTTTATCCGAATTTTAGCAGCACAAAGTTCGATTTCAAGAATTCGCTATTTTGGAGCTAAAATTCGAAGCAAACCAAGGCGAATTCCCACAAGGTGATAGCAACAATACAAGAACAACAACAACAACAACCACATGTATTTTGTATGTAGGGTGTTATATCGAACCTCAATTCGTCCCAAAGTTTACATGCATTTCTTTAACAAACATTTAGGCATATCATTGAAATAGTAAAATAATTTATACCTTTTTGATCGAAACGACATACATACATAGATGAATTTTAATATATATTTTTTTATTTTATTATTCCTTTTGTATTATGAAGTTAATCAATAGCGTATTACAATAACTCACTTCATAGTATATAGGCCGACAGTAATTCTGCCACTTGATTCACTTCGCGTTTTATTTTCGTTGATGATTATTTGAAGATATTTACTTTGAGGATTATCTACTTTTCGTTGGTAGTTTTCCTCTTTATATAGCTTTAGTTTTTCACTTGATAATTAAAAATTCGTTTGTCTATCACTTTTTTACGTATCTGCGCGTCGGCTAGAGATGAGTTGAAGAATGTTGCTGGATATCAACTTGAGTATCAGGAATTTCTCAGTTTGGAGAAAAATTTGTTTTGGTGTTTGTTGGGTTGTTTTTCCTTTTGATGGTGTGCAGTCTAATAGGGAATTTACATGATTCAACTTTCACAGGCGATTAGTTGAACCAAAAGTTGAACGAAAGTAGGCAGCCTATCAACTTCATTGTAAGCGATTAGTTGAAAGGCCGTTGCTTTCAACTAAAAATCGCCTGAAAAATCGCCTCATGTAAATTCCCTATAACTGATCTAACAGCACCACCTTGTATAAATTCGCCTTGCAGACATATGTATATGTAATAACATTGGCAGTAAGAGCTAGTACCGTCCGAAAACACTACAGTACAGATATATTAATAAAGACGTACGAAAGAAAAGGAACACATACGTTTATATATAAACATGTACACAACACATGCACAAAAACGGCACTCAAGTACACAATACATTGACAAAAACGGTACTAGACTTTCTCGCTTTGATTTTGGAATGCTTACACATTGAGAAGTTAGCTTACTGCCAATATAGAAGTATTACATATATGCTTGCAGCAAACTATTCGAGACTCTACTGTACACTGATCTATGTACACGTGTATTTATGTATGTATGTACATATTTTCCGAATGCAAGCGCACATACCCACACACGCACCCAAAAAGCGCCCAACCCCGTACACTTAACACATTTAAAGAGAATACAAACGAAGAGCTAAAAATCGCAAGAGCGTGAAAGCGTCGTCGACAACGCGACGTCAACTCGTCACAACCGAGACGTTTCGACGTTAACGAACAGTTGGCGATGCGAGTGCGAAATAGAAAGACGTCGTAGTTGTTCAATTACATAATTACATTAAAATAATTTTCATCTTGACGTTTGAACGACGCCAAAAAAAAAAGGGAAATGGATCCTGATTTTACTAAAAAACTTATCAAACTTGTGAAAAAGTCCGAATGTTTGTATGATTGTAGCTCACCAGAATATCGAAACCAGTCATGGAAGGCAGCAATTTGGCAGAAAATTGCAGAGGAGTTAAATACGAAAGGTAAGGGTTGTTTATACAATCGAATTATTTACATACATACATATGTATGTACAAACGTATGTATGTACATATCAGGGAAGCCAACTTGTGGGGAGTTCCCCGATTGGCGGGGAATTTTAGTTTGCGTGGGGAATGGGGGAATTTACCTTTTTTGTGGGGAATTTAAGGCGCTGTGTCATAGGCAATTATGTACCTATTATCATGATACAAAAAGAAGGTAGTTTCATTTCAAAATTTTTGACAAAAAATAAGTTTATGAAGTTTCATAAATTGTACAAAATTATGAGCTGCCTTGCCACATTGATAGCAATCAAATAATGCATTACAGGATTTAATGTTATGCATGGGAAATGTTCGGTTATTTATACAATGATTTTTTGGTTAGGAGCGGCGGGGGTCGGGGTGTTGTCACCTAAAAGTCATTAGAAAGAGCACAGTATAAACTTTAAGAAAAGTTATCCTTCGCCTCCCTACCCATTCTACAGGCACTCGGGGGCCCATTTCAAAATTGTGTTAAATTAGCATTTTCGCAAAGAGAAATTAAACTCGTGTTCGGCCATCAGCAGTAGTTTTGCGCAAAACTCCTATCCCAATTGGTGACATTCAATTGGTACTGTTACACGTTGCAGGGCATCATTTTAACTCGACCTCCTCCCTCTTCAACGGTACATCGTTTAAGAGGTTTAAAAATATTTTGCGTCAGCGATTTGTCATCAAACTGCATTAGATAGTATTACGTACTCTATTCTCTGAAAAGCAAAAAAGTTTATTTTCGAACCTTTGCACAGGTGTACCGAATTCTAGCTGTTTGGAAACACGCAAGACTTTTCTTTTAATATTTTCATACAACTTCACTAACCTCAAAAATTGTTTTCACTTTTTCAAGAAACAAAAGTTTTGCTGCTACTGAATCTGGTAGCATGAATTTAGTTAAATGTCATAAACTGGTTAAAAGTCAAATGGTCGGCAACAACAACGAATGTCAATAAATGAAACTACCTTATATTTTTGTATCATGCCTATTATTTTAGTTTTTTGTTACTTTTGAATTTTATAAGTTTATCCTTTAACAAAAACCGTATAAATTCAAGCTCCAAACTTTGTGCGATATTAAAAAAAAAACAAATTCTTTTAATTAGATTTTTTAGAAAGATTTTGAGTATGCAGCTGTACCTCCTTCAATTCTAGTATAATAAAGTTTTAAATGACTAAAAATTACCGTTGACTTTTTAGAATTTTCTTTGTCGCATTTGGTTTCATATAAACACAATTTATTTTTGTATGGAAGAAAACCGCAACACCTTCGGCAACAAAATTCTAAAACAAAAAATTTCAGCCACTTGAAATTTGCACTTTATTATGCTAAAATTGAGTGGCCTAAAAAGCTGCATACTCAAAATCTTTCTAGAAAATCTAATTAAAAATCCCGAAATTTTTACGTATGTTCCTTGAACTCTTTTTTAAATATATGTACATTTTTTATTCTTTATTACGAACTTTATAAAAGTTTGGTTTGGTTTATGAACATAGTATAGATGAATTACAGTTAAAAATAAAATAAACAGAAAAGATTTTTTTTTTTTTGTTGTAAATAAGGACATATCTATGGGTGGGGAATTTTATGAAATTTCGGGCAAAATCGGGGTATTTCATTACCGAAATCGGGGAATTCTCAAAAATTAGTTGGCTACGCTGGTACATACATATCTTCAAAAGAGTCACAACTCAAAATAATACGTTCGTCACAAAATGCGAAAAACTATTTCGTAGCACATGCTAATCATATGGGCAAAGGCGACTTTACCTTAGGGTTTTTTTAACAAATCATAACAGAAATTTGCTCCAGCTTTTGCTGAAAGGTAAATAAAAGCTCTGTGTACATTTTTAGCGCATAATTTCAAAAATGCAAAATTTTGAGTTGTGACTCTTTTGAAGACGGTGTGCGATATGTACATTTCCATATGTTTTATAGTCGTATGCATTTGCCTTCGCACTTTCAGAGGCGGTGTGCAAGAGACGCTGGAGATCGCTACGCGACACATACACGCGAATAGCACGATGCTCAAAGTTGACTACAGGTACAAAATTTTTAAAAACGAAATATAAATATGCTGATGAGCTATCATTTTTGCGTGGGATCAAGGAGGGCAGAAAGTAAGTGTTAAGAACGTGTTAAAACGCCGCTAAATGAGGTACCACATATCGAGCCCTAACGTAAAAATAAATGTAAGCGACATTTTTTTTTTTTCAAAATGTAAAATTTGAATCAAAAATGCTACTAGAGCATCTAGATATCTACATATGTATGTATCGTCACCTGAATTGGAAAATAACGTAACAACATCGTCACTGAAATGCAAAAAATCGTAACTTGTAAAAAATTCAAAATTCACTTTTTGATTTCTATGAGAGATTTCATCGAATTACAACTCCCTACATCGGTTTGTGAAAAAAAAATTAGGCACGACTTTTTCCACGGTATGTATGTATGTATCAAAAAGGAAGTTTTGAAAATAAGGCCGGTTAGGTTTTTATTTGGGGTTAGGGATCGATATGTACGTACGTACATACATACATATATACATGTGTACATTAGGCATATGACTTTTTTGTTAAATTAAATATACCTATGAGAAAAGGAGGAAACTCCGAGAAAAAATTTATGTGTACTGAAAAACAACATACCTACATAATACATATTTGTGCATATGTATATAGAAAATTCCGTGTCAAGCGGATTATAATGATGACTGCGATCAAAACTTTGATCGTAGAATGTTTTTATTGACGTGGAATTTTTCATAATTGAAAAAAATGTGTTTTCCATGTACATATGTGTTTTTTCAATTCATCAATTTTTTCTCGGAGTAGCCTGCGGGACCGTTTTCTGGAAAAATTTCTCAAGAACGGTATTTTTTAGTGTTTGGAAGTATCGAGTACTTTTGAGGATCCAGTTCTTTGGTATCAATACTTTTAAGAATCGGGTATTTTTAAGAGTACTGAGTACTTTCTTTAAAAATAGACATGTTGGTAACATTACA